AAATATATGAAATGTAAACATTATTTACTAAAATAAAAATATTATTTTATTTCGAAATTTGATGTACTTATACAAAATTTTTAATTCAAAATAATATGAAACATTCTTACCTTTCTACCCATTAAGTTACACAAGCAAAGTAAAAAATATGTCCACATGGTGTACAAAAAACATCATCAGAAGGTACTAACAGATCACTGCATATTACAGATATCACAGAAACAATATACATTTTGTACTAAATTGAATAAGATGTGTAAATGCGGAACTATAGGTAAGCACTTATACGCTACATACAGAGTTATCACTGATATTACACAGATACTAATCATTTTATATTAAATTAAATAATTAATATATGTAAATGCGAAACTATAAATAAGCATTTATACATACAGTTATCGCTAATATTCTTCACTGAGACTATGTTATAGATCTTAACTAAACTTAGTTCAAACGTTATTTTAAAATAAATTTAACGTAAGTGAACTTAATATAACTGTTCCACGTTTAAAATTATTACATAGGAGCAAAATGAACATTTCAAACTAACCAGTATATGTATATACGATCTTGTAACCTAGTATAACCTAGTATACGTTCTAAAAGTCATCAGATATAAACACATATGTGTAATACATGTCATATACAATGAGTCACAGTCAAAATCGTACACCTATATCAGAAAATGTTTCATCTCCTAAAAAAGTTTTGGGATGATTTGGAAAAAAAGATTTGATGGGTATAATACATTGTAAATATATTTATATTTATTATGTAACAACACAAAAAAAAAATGAACGTTTTATGTACACAGGAAATTGAAATTGATAGCATTTTGTCTGGAAAACATTTCTTTATTTCAGCCTTTTGGCCTAGAAATAGGTCTCGGTCCTAATCTTATTTGTATTGTGATAAAATTTTAAGCTAACCTTATGTTAATATGAGATAATATTATAAGCAAGGCTTGACAGTGCATGTGTTTCTCTTTGGTTTTGTCTTCTTTTGTGTTTTAGATCGGTCCTTATATTTTACTGCCTGTTTCTTCTTTTCCTTTCTGTATCATTTATATTTTTCTGAGTCATGCTACTGCTTCTGCTTCTCCTTCTACCAGGATTCTCTCCATACTCACAACGTAAGTGCAAGGCCTTGGGGTCACTGATTTAATTCAAATTTTGCAGAATGATAGATTTAGTTTCTCTGATGGTGAAGCTATATGATTATGT